ATGAAGAGATTGAGGCATGCCACTGTGAGACTATTTGGCTTACTAGAAAGAAAGAAGAAAAAAGAGAAAAGACGAGAATTAAATTTAGGTGATAAGAAGCCATCACGAACAGATCACTAAGCAATGTTATTTTCTAACAAAGAAAAGTGGTAAAATTTTTATTTCCATTGTCGAGAAAAAAAGATACTGGATTTAATCTGATTTATGTTACGGGGCGGAGAATGAGAGATGGCCAATCTGCCCATGGCAATGGTGGAGGTTCCAGGTTGGTCGGATGACCTGCAAAACAGAATTCTTAAGAGATAAAAATTAATTAAGCACCCGCTGACCGAAAAACAAAATGTCGCTGGACCACACAGTGTTACAAAAACAAAAGATTAAACCATTAGTTATCTGTGGAAGGGTCGTTTGGAAAAAGCATCTGTTTATTGTCGGGACTAGATATGATAAGAAATTTATTTTATCGGGACGAAAAGTTGGCTGTGTTTCGCCAGATGACCACCCACTTGATAATTGGCGAAAATCTCGTTGACGAATTCCATATGAAATTCGATTGCGATTAAGGGACCACACCCCGAAAGAAAAAGAAAAGAAAAAAAAAAGAGATATTTTTTTTTTCTTTGAGCAAGATTTTTTAAAACCTAGGCTAGTCTGGCCACACCAACGCTGCTGAGCGCCCATTGGCTGAATGGTAGCATGAGCGTTAGGCGGAGGTAATCATGTGAAGAAGGAGGGGGGCCTGTTGCGCCCCCGCCCCTTTGAAGGGATAGGTGTGAGATGCCACTGTGAGAGAGAGGGGAAACCCGTTGACACCCTCTGAAGGCATGGTGAGATACCAATATGAGAACAGAAGAAGGTGGGAAGACGAAATACTTCCAAAAATGGAAAATAATAAAATTTTCCCGACCGAAAACAAAGAAGTGGATTGTGGGTTTGGAATTATCAAGGAACCTCAAACCCCGACAAGCCCACCCCGGTTTTGGTCGGCGCCCATATAAGAAGAGGCGCAGCGAGTGAAAAGCAGTTCCAGTTAAGTTCGAGTTGTTCGAGTTTCAGTTGAGAAGCGGTTGCAGTGAGCTGAGAGCTCCGAAGACCAGCCTCGCAGAAGCTGACTAAGATTCATGCAATTCCGAACTCATCTTCTAATCAAGAACAATTTATTTTTGAAGAACGACTTAGACTCACACCACCAAAACAAGTTTTACGAATATCGCCTGAAGATACACCAAGAACCATTTTCTTAAAGAACAAACAACTTAAGATGTTAAGACTCGCCTAACAAGCACAAAGTGTCACGGATCCATATAGCGTGTTGGGAAGAAGATGCTGTCCTGTATTCAGTAACCAGATATAAAATATTGTCATCCTTTTTTAACATATTTGAACTTTTCGAGTTATTATTTTCTTTTCTTTTACATATACTTGCGCGATATCGCCCTTGTTCGAACTCGGCTTGCATTACAGCCCGGCGACTGATTGATTTCGTCTATCTAAGATCAAATCACAACGTGGAAAAGTTAGACTGGAAATCAAAGCAGTTAGTTCGGTAATCAGACATTGGAGGCGAGCTGGGAACAACAAGGCTGATACCCAATCTAACCAGATTCCCATCCGAACCAGCAAAAGGTTAGAACGTCACATTTGGTGCCGCGACCAATACCAAGCCAGTTGGTCGTCACAGGGCAGGCTAGCTAGGACGCAGCCAGGCAGACGTCACGTTTGGCGCAGCGACACCCGGGGGGGGTGGCGTCACAAAACAAAACTTTTGAGAAACGCAAAAAGCAATCCATTCCGTCAAACCTTCTCTGTAGATTTATACGTTACGTCTTGGAAAGCAACACGATAGAGTTTGGGAAAAAGCTGTTTCACCAAACCAAAGGATATGCAATGGGGACCCCCATGGCCTTTAACTTTGTGAATGTCTTTATGAAAAACTACTTCGACCTTTCAGATCACAGCCCGGCCATTAAACAAAACTTTGGCTGTGATTTATTGATGATAGTTTCTTCATCTAGAAAAGTACGCTGGAATGTTTGTTAAAATTTCTACGATTTTGTGTTACTTTTGCACAAAAGAATAATTTTCGATCACAAATAAAATTTACATCCAGTTTCTCCCAAGAGAAGTTTTAGGCAATAGAGTAAAGTTCTTAAGGAAATGTCTAATAATTGAATTATTTTGTAAACGTTTGTCATCATACATTTACCTACACCAGCATTCTGATCATCTTTATCACACAAAAACTCGAAGTGTCAATTTTTACGCATAAAGCGAATTTGTACGGTAATAAAAGTTAATTGGAACCATGCTAATAATTTTATTCGGTATTAGGTTTAGTATGACTTTCAAAAATTGTGACTGAAAACAATTGCCAATGAAATCGCTAAAAATGAAGATTACCATAATTTTATACCAGTACAAAACACCACAAAACACAATAAAAATTTTGACAGAATCCCATTAATCATCAATTTGCATTGAGATTTTGCTGGAATTTCGAAAATACTACATGACAGCAGTGAGCACATTTCGAAGTTTCGAATCGCTTTCTTCCCGAAAACACACATAGAAGTGGCGCGTTGTACAACAACATATGTAAATTTAATTCTATCAAAATTCAAAGAGAAACATAATATCTAAAGAGGGTGGCAATTGTACTAACTCACATTTCATATATGCCGCTCAATATACCAAACATGACTTGATTTATGTGGGTTGCACAACAGAAAAATTAAATAAAAGATTCAATGGACACAGATATGATGTTAGACACCATAATGTGACATCAACGGAGATTGCAGAACATTTTATTACGATTGTAATTTCGACAAACATTTTAAGGTGCATATTCTGAATAAATTATTCATATGAGGATGTTTACGTAAGCAAATTATGAACTTATCAGCTCAGGGGAATAAAGAGAATGACAGGAGTGTTCCATAAGATTTATACTAAGCTGTTTGACTAATTCCTCTTTGTAACTAATCAACTAACGGAAATCGTCCTGGGTAAGACGTTAAACTACATCCGCGTCTTGGGTAAGACGTTAAACTGCGTCCAGTAGCAAGGCCTCTGATCAGGAGGTTTTGATGAGCGTTGAACCACCTCTTAATTACTGGTGTTTCCAGGTCCACCCTGATCCGAGGTGGTAGTACCTGTTAGGGTCCCAGCTATGGGCAAATAGTTAACTATTACCAGCAACACAATTTTGAAGGAAATATATTACCAGAAACAGATTTTTGACAAAACAAAAATTTTTGTCAGCATTAAATAACCCATTGAGGTTGATATGCCGTAAAACAAAATAAACCCAACCAATCTAAACCAAAGAATACATACTCTATTCATACGAATCTATCCTAATAAGGTTGTCGGCATTAAATGACCCATTGAGGTTGATATGCCGTAAAATAAAATAAACCCAACCAATCTAAACCAAAGAATACATACTCTATTCATACGAATCTATTCTAATAATGTTGTCGGCGTTAAATGACCCATTGAGGTTGATATGCCGTCAAACAAAATAAGCCAAACAAATCTAAACTAAAGAATACATATTCTATTCATACGAATCTATCCTACAAATGTTGACGGCATTAAATAAACAATTGAGGTTGATATGCCGTTAAGCATATTAAACCAAACCAAACCCAACGGAAAATTTCAAGATGACCAAGATCTCTATAATGTTAAGCAGATTTAAATTGCATGCCTTCACGCTGGCGGTGTTTCATTCGTTTTGACGCTTTCATTACCAATGCAGCCTTATTTTCATTAAAAGACAAGCAGCGTTTTGTTCACAGACTTATAATTTTTGCAGATTTATATATTTTATTATTGAAAGAAATTGTTTAAATATAACTTGAAGAAGACAAACATTCTGTTAAAATAATGTTTAACATTTTCAAACACTATTTTTTGTTTTATTTATCTCTTCTATATCAAGCTCTTTTTAACTGTTGAAAAATATTGGAAGAATTACGTCAATCATTTTATTTTATAAAATAATTTCCATAATTAAAACTATATTCAAATTATATAATAAAGATCAATGTTTATCTATTTATATATTTTCCTTGTATTTATTTTTATATTTTTGCCCCATCTGTAGTGAGGAGGGGGATAATCAATTTAATCGCTATAATCAAATCATATGTGCTGGTGTCGGGCTGTCGATTCCAAGGAACTGACCTTCGCAACCCTCATGCGTCAAATACGACGAGAGACCACCACTATATATATATATATATATATATATATATATATATATATATATATATATATATATATATATATATATATGAAACTGGGTTCGAATCTCACTATTGTCAGTTTGTCAGGAAGTAGATTTCTGATGTCACCAAAATGAAGGGAACGATTCCAGCTTGCGGCACTTTCGAAAGTTCCTGAAAATCATACCAACGTTTGACCCAAGCCTTGTGAGTGAAATTGAATAGACGGTACACTTGAAAGCCGTCGATAGCTTTGCTAACATTAATGCACAAGTAAACGTGGTCCAAGGCTTGAGCATGCTGGTCTTGTATGAAGTGTTAACAACACGCTCTTTTCAAGAAACTCTAACTAAAGTTTGCTCAGCATAGCTACGGTATAAACCATAGGTGAGCTCTGTGGGCTTTGAATAAACACAAATGTGCCTCAGCAAGCTTCTGCAATAGGAATTGACTAGCCATTCTAGTAAACGATTATCCTCAAATACGAGTGGCCAGCTATACACATATATATATATATATATATATATATATATATATATATATATATATATATATATATATATATATATATATATATGTATATATATATAATTATTTATGCATAAAAGTGGACATCAAAACTGACACCCACCACCCACAGGCGATCAGTGGCCTTTCGATTGCTTTTAAGCATGAAACAGACTTTCGCATCTTGGTGTTGCTCTCAATGTCCACTTTTATAATTACATACGCCATCTCTCATTTTGACTACCTTAATTCGCATAT